TGGTTTTTTTTTTTTTGCAGCGCGTCACCTTGGAAGACTACACGCCCATGAACAACCGCAACACCAGTGGAATTGCAGGTGCGTTGCCGGCCTTTTAGAAAGGAGTAAGCTCTTTTCTTGAAGGTCCTTAAATCGTATCGGTCCGAGAAAATCGGCTGAATGTGTGAAATGTCTCTATTAATCTTTCAATAATACGAGGTGAAGAGGGCTATTTTGTTCCGAAGAGCATGCCCTGTATTGCATAGATAAGCAGTATTGCTGTTGAGTTACATACTTAATCTATTTTGATGTTAAACTTTATTAAGCTAAGATCCTCGTAATAAAATAAAACGACGAGTCTTACCTACTTTGAAGAGCACCTTTAGTCCTCCCTCAAATGCATACATCGTACTTGTCACCAGTAATCCCAGCATCACTACTTCCATCACCACTACATTAGGAAAATCATATCACTTTCATTAATTCTACACGTGTTTCGCCTCTAAACGTGGCATCCTCAGGTGAAGTAGACTCTGCTGTGACTGACAACTGACTTAGCTAGCTTAGTTAAGTAGTGTATGGAGCAGTGGTTCTGGAATTAGTGGTGACGGGGATAGTGCATGCATTTAAGGGAGCGGGGGAGATGCTCTTTAAACTTTTAAGACACATCATTTTATTTTATTACGCGGGTCTCAGCTAAGAAATTTTTGTCAAATTTAATATAATGTATTTCCGGAAAGTAACGCCTGATTCTATTAATTATTTTGGTATTATTATGTACCTATTTACGTCCACCATATTACACAAATGTGTGATTATGACCGGGACTAAATAGCATGATCGAATTCTAACTGCTTTGCATTGTACAGTACGTTACGCTGTTTTTTGGTGATAATTAATAATTGCGTAAACGTGAGCGCAAACTGAAAATCTGCTCTCACAATATTATTCTTAACAATAAACTTTTAGCATATTACATAAAATCATACATGAGAAGTAGTTCTAAAATTATTATATAAAAAATTAAGTGAAAAGGCGCACATTACCAGGGAATTGAGGCATAATTACACCGAATGTGTAAGTTGTCGGCAGGGCCCAACACGACGATAACTTTATTAAAGCAAGCGTACAAAACAAATAGAATAGAAACGCGGGCGGAGCGGTAAACACAAGTGGACTCTTTGTGCGCCAATCAAATGTTTTTAACCCACGAAAAATTCTGTTTTCGCGCTATATGCTTTGTGAACCGGGCCATTGGTAACTTTCGCGTGTACTTTTTTTAACGCTTTTATGATATTGAGTTGGTCCTGTGTTTATTACGCGAGAAATGAAAACAAAAAACCACGTTTGCAATTGTGATTCCTTACGTGCGTTAGGGTGACTGTGGAATAAGTAAGCATTTCAATGGCGATTTCATTTCAATTTAACCATGTTATGTTGATAAAATAATGAATAATTACTTGTTACCAACACAATCTGCGTTTCGATTCTTAATTAAAGATAGATATAGATTGCCTATGGGTCACAGCATCCACTTAACCATCGAGTGGATTGTGTACTCGCCAACTTTATTCAATTTAAAAAAAAACTTTCAATACATATCATTTATGTTCTATAGTCAACTAGCTTGCCAGGCAGAAGTTGTTCTACCCTTTTCGACGACCCTTTGTCATGTGAAAAGTTCTTATAAAAAATCCTTAAATCCGCAAAAAAAATTTATGGGTCACTCGTGGGCAAAAAAACTATCCTATCTCTCAAGTTAGACCAAACTGCACACAGTGTGCAAATTTGATTAAAATCGGTTAAGTAGTTTAGGAGTCCATCGCGGACAAACAACGTGACACGTAATTTATATATATTAAGATAAAAAATGTATTACTCTTTTTGTCTTTATTTCGGACAAGATTCAGCGCAATAAAGTTATGAAAATAGGACACTAAAACGAAATGCTCTTATCAGAAAAACCTTAGGTGATAAAGGAAGGGTTGCAAGTGTGAGTATATCATTTGTTTGGGTTTCCAACAGTTTTAAGATAAAGCGATTCACTAACAAGATCACAGTGGGGAGGTTGTTTGCTAAGTGCTCTATTCACGTGTTTGATTTATTGTATTTTGCAGAGCTTCGAGTTTGTACATTAAAAGGTTTTCTTCAAATTTATTTCTCCTTAAATATTTATTTTTCTTAATTTTCAAAAGAAAAAAAAAATGTGTGTGTCATTGTGAACACAAATACGAAGTGAAACTTATTTATGACACATTATTCTTCTTTTGTTTTATATTTTACATAAGTATGTTATACAATATTAATACTCATGCAGCCTCGAGCCAGAAACGTGACTTTTTTAATACTGTATTGAATTACTCTACTACATCGATAAATAAGTTTCACTTCAAAAACAAAGTAATGCTGTCACGATTCATCCAACAGCCAATGACTAAGTGAAGGCGTTTTTACAAGGTACAATGAGATCACGTACAAGTTTGATAGCTTAAAACCAGGGAGAGGAAAGTTAGTAGTAGAATTTTGAAGCCTAAAATGTATGGAAACAGGCTCCCTATATAGACTGCGAGTTTCTATCAAGACACTAGATGGCAATAATAAGAAAAGAAAGCTGGAGGAGGCATTATATTTAGTGTTGCCAACTTAGTAGACGTTCCAATCAATATGTTAGTTGACCTTCTAGTGGAGAAATAATGCTTTTTGTGGCTGGTGATTTTTTCTAGTGGTTCGATAGAATTCAGTTTCAATAAGTGGAAAGATGACCTCTTAAAAATTCTGAAGACTCAACCATTAAGTCATTTATACGTTTTAAAATATACTTCTACCGCATATCAGGAGTACATACTTTTACTGTGTAAACAATACTGATTCGATAGACATGACTTGACGTCAGACAATCCATTCTAGTGGTGACACTATTCGCTGGGATTCCCCGTACAATATACTATAATAGTGGGTCACTAAACACAGTCTTGTACTCTTTTCGCGAGTTCATAGGTCACTATGCCGAAAACACAGTTTTGTTTCACACTGCTAAACCATCAGAACATGTTCTTTTTCACGTGCATTTAAGCATCATTCTCGTAAAGCGGGCTGATATGTTCCATATTTGATGTAAAAAGTTGGAAATAAATTGGAAGGAAGAGAACTAGTGAATACTCTTTATATTCCTCGACTTTAATCGATTTTATTTCTCTTGTAATATCTATAAGTACTTCTTATATGTATATTTTATATAATTTTATTAATACTTATAACTTAAAACTTAAAATCCTCGTCACTTTTTATATACTGATAAGAATCTCACACCTCTTTTATACGTGGTAGAGGTACGCTGCAGCTATATTACGGCTGAAATAGCAGTTAATACTGTATGGCGAGTATAGCGATGCTGAGAGTATTTTTTCTGAAAACGTGGCATTCCATCTTAGTCCTCAGGATTAACAACACATCGGCGTTTTTATTGTTAATAGAGGCTAAATCTAGATGTCTATGGGTCACAGCATCCACTTACCATCAGGTGGACTGTGTGCTCGTTTGTCACCGTTATTCTATAAAAAAACCTATGTTTGTTATTTGTTCCAGGTAATTAAACAGGTAGATTTGTGAAAAGTCTAAGAGGAACACTAAATCCTTGTAGTTTCACTACTAAATCATTTGACGGCTCTGTGGCGCAGTGGCTTAGCAATGAGTTACAGCGCTAAGGGCCGCGGGTTCGAATCCCGCGCGGAACAAGTATTTGTATAGTCTACAAGTAATTGTTACGGGTCTGGATGTTTGTCCTTGTAAAATTTATATTTGTAAACTGCCCCCACGATATGGGAGAAAATCCTAGTGTAGAGGTAACGTTTTTTTAAGAAAAAAGAGAAAAAAGAGAGATCACACACACTCTTATGTTAATTAAACTGATCAGCGTTCATTTTCCATTCAATCCATCATTGGCGAATTTTAGCAAACCGCCAAAAAAAGGAGAATGAATATTTGTACTACGAAAAGGATATGTGATTATCAAGTTGAATCCAATTATAAACCTACAGGTCATTGTAACCTTAATTAACCTTAACATCTGTTTCTAACTTTGTATCTTGAAGGTTTTCTTTTTTTATAGCATTGAGTGACAAACGAGCACACAGTCCACCTGATGGTAAGTAGATGCTATGGTGCACATAGACATCCAAATTTATCCTCAATTGAATCAAAATGCATATGCGTTGTCACCACTGAGGACTAAAATGGAATGCCTAGATTCTAATAAAAAGGGCCTTTGGTTCTCTATACTTACAATACGAAACACAGCAGCATTAAGCTGCTATTTTACGCTGGTATTCTGTGAAAGCGTGGTCCTTCCCCGGTCGAGCCGACCCATTCGAGTTACACTTATAATATAGCTGTAACCGTGGCTATAATAATACGTGGTGTATTAGGATTAGTTATCAACAACCGGCTGTTAAATTAAATATTTGAAGCATTTCGTTACCATGCAGGTAGCTTTAAAATAAATGTTTCAAATGTTTAATTCACAGTTTGTGCATAATTAAACCTAGTACATAAAGCGTAATGAAACATATTTAAATAAAACTAGTTTTTACGGATTATATTGCGTATATTAACTTATTTTATATTCCCGACGTTTCAAGCACTTTACAGTACCCCGAGGGGGGCTGAGGTATTCGACGTCCTATGTCATAGTTAACTACGGCTACCTCCAGATTAAAATTATTAATTTTTGTTCCGATCTACGTAGTACAGTGTTGTGTATGGTAGGTAAGTGGTGAGTTGCATGGATTAGAAAAAAATGCTGCCCTTGACTTTTTTTTTTTTTTATGTGTGGTGAATACACATTTTTTTGGGGGCACCGGGGAACACATCTGCGCGATGGTTATTAATGTTTGTAAACTTTTACATTGTGCCGCAACATCACCACACAGAGCTAGTACTCTTTAGTTGACAGATTTCGCACGAGTGGGCTTCCTTTTCCTGTATAGCACAGTTACTGTATTTTTTGGCTTAAGACTAAGTACTTACGTGTTAAGCTCGAGGTCCAGTCTAAACTTATGATTGAAAGCTTTGATGAGGAGTGATGTGCGATGAAAGTGTTTGCCAGTCTGAAACAAAGATAAAAACATTATAAATAACAAAAGTTAAAGTAATATTAAAAGTACTTATAAATAAAACATTTATGTCCAGGAAAACAACAACGGGCTTACTCATGAAAATCGACATCAGTTTAAGTATTGTTTAAAGCTACTCTCTGTCTCTATTCACTAAATTGAAAAATGAAAAAGACAGTTATATAGATAATTAATAAGTACCCAAGTTAAGCGAGCGACAGACAACGAGTAGAAGGAAGATTGTAAAACGTTGTCTTATTTTAAATTATGAAGAAAAAATTGCAAGCAAGAGAAATTAATTTTTTTATTATTATTAACTAAAAAAAATTATTTTATAAAAAAAAAAAAATTCTCAAAAAAAATAATTTTTGTGTTTCTTTTTTCGTTCTTCAGTGATGACTCTCTTTTCAAATGTTAAATACATGTTAAAAATAACATAAAATTTGCCGTAAACATCAAAGTCAATTTAATTTTGTAATTCGTATTAAATTTATAAAATTACACGAGCAGAGTTCGATATCACAGAACATATTCCAGGGAATTGTAAAGTCCGTGTCTAGACAGACATTTGACATTTGACGGAAATGTCGATAATTTCTAGTTTACAGATTGTTTCCTTTGTATGCGTCTAATGATCTCCTTTGATGCCATCAGAAGTTTTTAAGTAACTTAGAAGTGACCGAGATTTTCAGACCTCATTAATTCAAGAACTTATTATGTTAATTCATGAAATTCAAGAAACTTGGTACTTACGGGTTCTATATTAGGTGAATGAATTAATAAATGTGGTCTATTAGTTTTTGAGTAGTATTTTTGTTTACTCATCATGTTTATGTTCGCCAGGTTTCGTGTGGTCAAAATTTTCCAGTTTCAAAAACATTGCCAGTAAGTAAACGAAGCCTGTGTATCTGTGAATCGTATACAGGCTGAAACATAACTTTTATAAGAGCCATAGGAGCGTATGAATCCGTCTGAGTACCTACCATTCTGTCACCTATCTCTATTGCCAAGTGCACACACTGCTGTTTTCAGGTCTGTAGGGTATTGGGAGCCAGTATCATCACAGGTCGTGAGGCATTCCATTTTCAGAGGTGAAAATGCATCTATAACCTAGATTGTTTGAAGTTGCAAATGTTTATGGTTTAAAATATTTAATATAAGAGAGGATATAAACCAGAATGCGGCTCACCTGATAGTTTCTCAATTGCAGTGGGGAATTAGGCTATAAGTTACCCTGTAACTTGAGTTCAAACAACTAACAATGTGATCTTTCCAACAATTTTTAATAAACAATGCTTCAAAAGATTTCTTTTTGTTTCGTGGAAACTATTAATCGCCCTGTTCGCAGTCAGTTCCGTAAACAAATAAATATTACACGAGCATAAAACATGACTGTCGTTACGGCTCACCGTAAGTGATTTGTTTTTAAATAAAACTAGTAAAAATACCGGAGGAGCGAAAATAACTGTTATTTTTTACTACTAAACGGAATAACAAATAACAGTGAGCTACAAAATTAAAGAATATGTAAATGTACAAAATGTGTGCAATTCAACCGCACCAGTGTATATAGGTTTTTATATTTAATTTGAACTGTAGAGTATGCTCAAAGGTATTAAAACGGCCAAACGTAATTTTTTTTATAGAATAAGGGTGTCAAACGAGCACACAGTCCACCTGATGGTAAGTGGATGCTGTGGCCCATAGATATCTACATTTATCCTGGATTAAGAATCAAAACGCAGATACGTTGTCACCCATGAGGACTAAGATGGAATGCTTCGTTTCAGTAAAAAACGGTCTCCGGATCTCTACACTCACTGTACGAAACACAACAGTATTAGGTTGTTATTTTACGCTGGTATTTTGTGATAGCATGGTCCTTACCCGGTCGAGCCGACCTAGTCGTACTACAACCATAATATAGCTGTAGTGTGGCTCTACCTCGTAAAACGTTTTTTTTATAGAAAAGTGATAACGACCGACTACACAGTCGTCTTGATGGCAAGTGGATGAATAAGTGTAACAAACAAGCATTCAGTTCACCTGGTACTAAATGGGTGCTGTGACCCACAGACATCTACGTTTATCCTCGATTAAAACCAAATTGTAGATGCGTTGTCACCCCTGAGAACTAAGATGGAAATTGAAATACCTCGTTCCTAGTTAAAAGGTCTCACGTTCTCTACACTCACCATACGAAACAAAATACAGCAGCGTAAAGCAGCTATTTTACGCTGGTATTCTGTGAGAGCGTAGTCGTTTCCCGGTTAAGCTGACCCATTCGTGCTACAAACATAATATAGCTGCATCGTGGCTCTACCACGTGTTGATGAAGTTGGTTTCATAAAGTGTTAAGCGCGGCTTCTAAATATGTGGTCCTATCAAGAATTTCCCAGTTTACATTACCTCCACATTAGGATTTTCTCCTGTATCGTGGGGTCAGTTTACATGCATAAATTTCACAAGGACAAACATCCAGACCGGTAAGATTATTTGTAGGCCATACAAATACCTGTTGCGTGCGAGATTCAAACCCGTGGCTTTTAGCGATGCAACTCATTGCTAAGCCACTTCACCAAGGATTCAATAGCAGCCCTGACTCAGGAAGTTGGCGGTGATTAACCATTGTGCATCGTAAAGCAGTTAAAGCGCCAGAACTCCCAACGGTAGCGTCCACATTTTCGTCTTATCGGACTATGAAAGTGAGGGAATAAAAAATGCACCTATGCTTGCACCTTCGTGCACTTTACAGTGCAGGATTATTTCTGTCCTGCACAGATGGCTAGACTCAGTTGAGACTGGCCGCCGTGACCGTAATTCGGTCTGGAGGACATCAAATAAAACCTTATTTACTCTTGCCTTGAAGACCCAGGTTGTTATTCGAAGGATAGACAGACGCTGATTTATTCCACTTCTTTACTATAGGCATTATTTATCTCGCGGATGTAATCGAATATATTTTTGTTATTTTTAATATAATGGATTTCTGCAAAGTATTAATAATGTTTTTCAGACCGAATGGTCACGGTGGCCAGTCTCAACGGAGTCTATCCATCTGCGCAGGATAGAATTATAGAGCTCAAGTGTACGAGCAAGCATAGGTTCACATTCTACTCCCTCACTTTCAAGCCCGATCGGACAGTAATCCTACACTCCTTTACACTCTTTTACACTCAATTACTCCTTTCTAAAAGGCCGGCAACGCACCTGTAATTCTCTTGGTGTCGCGGTTTGTCATGGGCGGAGGTAGTCACTTACCATCAGGTGAGCCGCATGCTTATTTGACCACTCTTCTGTTAAAAAAAAAAACGACATGAGAGAGATCAAGTACAGCACCTACGGCTTTACGTGCTTTACGTGCGTTCTTTTTACGGGTTTGTTACACCGCCTACTGCTATTGACAATTTCTTGTTAGAAAAACACAATAACTAATTTTGGACCCCGGATTCGAAATCGGTACCACATGGTTAGCAACCACATTTACGACCACTCAAAGGGTGGCTAAAGTGCGCCTGATTCTGTTAATTATTGCAAATAGCAATTTCATTTTTATTAGTGGCGGCGGAGGTCACACCCAGGTTGCACGCGTCCTATAAATTGAGCTAACACGGCTCACCTACAGGCATATTCGCTAGAGTTGAATAAATATTAAATAACTATTAATTTTATTTACATAAAATCTTAGTAAAGTTAGTAGTTAAATATATCATAGTTCTAATTATAACCAAATTTATATATTTTTTTCTTATAATATAAATACACAGTACGTATGATACTGACATTTTCTATTTATTTTAATAGAATTAGAATGACAAACGAGCACACAATCCACGTGATGGTAAGTGGATGCTGTGGCCTATAGACATACATTTGCATATGCGTTGTCTCCCTTGAGGATTAAGATGGAATGCCTCGTTTCCGGTAAAAAAGGTCTCCGGTTCTCTACACTCACTATACGAAACACAGAAGCTTTAAGCTGCTGTTTTATGCAGGTATTCTGTAAGAGCTTCCCTGGTTGAACCGACTTTTTACTGCTATAACCATTATATAGCTGCAAATTTTCACCGATTGATTGACTGGTAAAGAATGCTTAAAGACAGTGAGCCCGCTCTTTGTACTCCTTTTGTAATAGGATTCGCAATAAAGAATTCACAGATAATTTTTTATTTAGAAGAGATAAAGGAGAATTTTCGCGTGGTAATGCGATACTTATTTATTTATTTATTTATTACAAGATCCACAGCTCTAATTACAACGTATATAAAACTTAAGAAATAAACTAACAGCCAATAACGGATCTACTTTATACATTTTTTGACTTATATTAATTGACCGACAATCAATAAGTTTGAACTTATATTAATTGACCGACAATCAATAAGTTTGAGCTACAAAACATACTATTTTAGAATTAAAAATTAAAAACGGTGCATCTCTCTCTCTCTGATCTGTGTATCCGTGTACGCGCGCGCGCGTGTGTGTATATGTGTGTGTGTGTGTGTGTGTGTGTGTGTGTGTGTGTGTGTGTGTGTGTGTGTGTATACTGTAGCTATATTACGATTGTAGCAGGAATGGGTCGGCTTGGCCGTAATAGAACCATGCTCTCACAGAATTCCAGCGTGAACTCATAAAAATTGCAACATTTAGCTGCTATAGCTTGATTTTTCAGTGTTCCTATGAATTTTCTGTGAATGTAAAGAACCGAAAACCCTTTTAATTGATACGTGGCATTTCATCTTAGTCCTAAGGGGTGACAACGAATTTCCAATTTTGTTCTTAATCGGGGGTAGATGTAGATGTCTATGGCCCACAGTAATCAGTTACTTACTTAGGTTGGTTGTTTGCTCGTTTGTCACCGTTACCCTATAAAAATGTCTGTGAATTTAAAAAAATGAAGGTATGTGAAGTAAGAATGGTACTCTTACTTCAAAACACTTACAGTACTAAGACGAGGCATGTACCCAGCAGTGGGATATGTATAAGTAGTTATT